CCGTCCTCGAGAGCCCCGTTTCTTCTCGCAGCCCTCCCTCACCTTTACCTTCCCTCGATTTTTATTATTCTTTCGGAGGATGAGGAGGGAAAGGAGGCAGTGATAAAAATCTCAACACCTTCGCACTCCAAAGTTCTGGGCAAGGAGTTTGTGCTTAAACGTTCCCTTCTCTCGAAGTGAAAGTTGGAGCTCTACGAATCACCCAACGCGGATCCAGCCCGCCTTTAATTGGAACAGGAGAGAATCGAATATTTATTATTCCTCCCGAGATTTTTATTTATTTCTTTTTTTTTTTTTTTTAAAAGCCGACAATCCCTCGGAGTCAATAATTAAGGATCGCGGCCGTCCTCGGCGAAGATAAATGAGCGGCGTTTGAGAGATGAGGTACAAAGCGAACCTTCGGCGGATGCCACGAGCGAAAAGAGCCGTTGGGCGAATGGGGATCGTAAATTTCTTTTATGGACGTTTCCAAAACAAAACCCAAAGAAATCGCTGTTATTTTTAGCTGCCTTTTTTTTTTTTTTGGCCGAGCCTCCCCGCTCCGTTTTGCTTTTGGTTTGTTTTGTGTTGTTGTTGGGTTTGGTTTTGTTTTGCTTTTTTTTTCTTCTTCTTCTACCTTAAGAATCCTATGGCAGACAGGAAGGCCTTGGAGAAATTCCCACCTCTGCCCTTCCAGACGATTTCAGCAAACCTATTCATAAGAAAGGCGCTGCTGTTTGCTAATTAATTCCCGGCTTCTCAGCCAGGGTAGAGGAGTTTACTTTTTAATAAGACTTATTTATCATGCCGAGGGAACCGAATGAGAATAACTCCCAGCAAGGACATCACTCTCGCCGCAGACAATAATACATCTCGGCGGAAGATGCAATACAGATCTGGGAATGCATAAAGGATTTAATCAGTGCAAAAAAAGCCAAACAGTCCCTTCGTGGGCACTTTGTCTGCGGCCGTGTTAAAAGTAGATGGGGGTTTCGTCTGTCGTGAGAGAGGAGCTCAGCAGCCGGGGAAGGGAAGGGAGGAAAAAGCTCTTATTTATTACCGAGCTGCGGCTGCTGTCAAACCCCAACGCTCGGATCTATCGCGTGAGACTTTTTATCTCCACCGAGTTTATTTTGTTTTATTTTAGAGGAACGGAGAGCCCGGGCTCAATTAAATATACGGTAGATACAATTAAATATACAATGGATATCTTTTTTTTTTTTTTTTTTTTAAGTACAGTGGCTCCTTGCCAACTCCGAGCTGCAGAGAGGAGCCTCTGCCTTTTCTAACGATGTTTGCCGTCTGATTCATCCTTACCCATCAGATTATTTTCTGCTCAAGATGGTTTTCGTATTTCTTAAGGGTGTTTCTCCTCCGTCTTCGTGGTGGAGAAAGTTTATGCTTTGAGAGAAGAGAAAGAAAGGGAAAAAAGCGTCGGAGAGAGGGAGAAAATCATAAACAGGAGGGAAAAAAGGGAAGGGAGGAGGAAGGACATGAAGAGAGAAAGAAAAGAGAAAGGTTTCATTTTGTGATCCGAGGTTTTGCAGTGGGTTTTTAGACTTCCAGAGCTTGGACTGAAAGAGGGAGGAATGCTAAAATACCAAAGGGTTACAAAGTTAGGAGCAAATGGTCCGGAGATGCATTTGTTGTTTTCTGAGGGGGGGAAAAAAAAAAAAACCAACAGCAATCAAAGTGGTTTTGGAATTACATCTCGGCAGTGGCATTTCCAGATTCAATACTGATGAGGGTGAAGCAGTGCAGTGAATTGGTGTGTTTTCTAAATACAACCTGTGCTGCCAGAGAGAGAGAGAGGGGGGGGGGGGGATTGGCTGACAAACAGGCCAAAGGAAACACATTCTTGAATTTGTGCCCTTGCTTCAATCTGCTTCAAATATTTGCTCTGAATTCCAAAGACATTGTGAGTCTCTGAGTAAACAGCAAATTGAGCCAAGTGTGTCAGGACAGGGCTACCTGCATAGGGCATATCAAGGCTTTGCTGTTTTCCAATTAAAAACAAACAGAGCAGAGAATGGCCCTACCCTAAACTTAGTGCACTTTTCTGACTCCGTAACATCCTGCTGCTTTTTCTGCCTGATTTGAATAGGTCGGGGATAGGAAGGCCAGAGTCTCGTTCCTCTCGTGGTCGTAGTTAGCAATTATCCATTCTGTAGGCTTGTATTTATGTTAATGTGTGTGTTAGCTGCGTGTGGATCTGCATATATATCCATACACCCCTATCAGTGGATGTATGTGTGAATGCATGCGTGTATATACTTATACACAGAGAGAAATACGGACCTAAATAGAAGTATTTAGATGTAGCCACGTGTGCTTGCATGTATGTAGTTCTACAACCTTGCTGCTATGCTCTAAGGGAAAGAAAGGGGCAAATAAACAACAGCCAGGAAAAAAAAAAACTACCCCCCAAAATCAGCTCAGCACTTTTGCACTGCAACATTTGATGAGCCTTCTGAGGCTGCACACAGGACAAAATCTGCTCAAAGCATCTGTTCACCCTGTTCTGCAGGACCCTATTCATGTCATGTGCCTTTCAGGCCCCAAGATGGATTCATAGGCTGGGTACTATTATTGTGTGTTTTCTCCTAACCTTTCAGGTCAGCTTCCAATAGACAGCTGGAAACGGCCTGTCACGTGGCCTTGGGGTGCCAATGTTCTGCCATAGGGGTGTCAAGACCCTGGTAGCTGGAAAAATCATTTTGGGGTATCCTGGAGATGCAGAAGACAACGTACTACGAAAGTTCCACTCTCTTTGGGGGTTATTCCTATGGGAGCACCAATGGCTTTGGCTACGAGGGCCCCCAGCAGCCTTTCCAACCGGGTTCCCACATGGAGAACGACTTCCAGAGGTCTGCCTGCTCCCTCCAGTCCCTCGGCAACACGACCCAGCATGCAAAAAGTAAAGACCTGAATGGGAGCTGTATGAGGCCGAGTTTGCCCCAGGAACACCATCCACCTCCGACTGTTTCACCAACCCCAAACCCCACCACCAACAGCACCAGTAGCAACAGCAATAACCAGTCAGGGAGCAGCAAAAGTGCCCCGAGTAAAGCCAACCTCAGTGCAAACTCCAGTCTCACCAAGCAGATTTTCCCCTGGATGAAAGAATCGAGGCAAAACTCGAAACAGAAAAGCAGCTCCCCTAGCACAGGTACACCGTTCTTCTTTTGTGAGCATCTCTTTTTCCTAAATTGCCGGGTAACAAAGAGCCACGGGGTCTTGTTTAGAGGAAGGATGGGGGGAAAGAATGCAGAGAGGATGCAGATACTGGGCACGACCCACACCCCATGGCCTTGGTCCATCCCGCATTGCTGGCTGAGAACACTTGGCTTATCCTACAACAACCAGAGCACGGCAGGGAGGTACAACCAGGCAGCTGAATAGGGCCACTGCCTGACTATGCAGATACACACAGCCCAAAATGTACACCCACCAATTACCCAGTGATGCTGAAGCTGAGTGCTTGTTCTCCTCCTTCCCCCTGCCTCAGACACGGCAGTGAACACGGTGTATGTGTGCACATAGGGAGCATATGCATAAATTGGTGGATATTTTTGCATGCACGCATCTCTAATGCAATCAAGAAAAAAAAAAAAAAAAAGATCAGTGTGGAAATGGCACCTTTGTGACAAATGCATGTGGATAAACTTTGCAGCACACACTTCACTGTGTTAATATCACATATCCGTTTTGCAAGTGCTTATAGTACAAAAATATCAGCATAAATAGAATCTGGCACTTAACAGTGTGTGTGCAACTAGTTCTGTTACACAAATACAAGGCACAAACAAGACGTGCATGCTTGTGTCTTCATACTTCTGCAAACAAAGTACCTTCCAACACTGCCCCACGTTAATATTAATTGGCTTCACAGTCGCTGCCCCCCTGCCAAAGATTATTTTCTCAAAATTATCTGTTGAAAATAATCGACTCCTAAATAAATGGCCCTGGAATCCTTTTCTACATGACATGATCAAATTTTCATAAACCAGGGGCAGCTTTGGAGAACAGAACTCTTAATAAATGACATGATTATGGAGTGCAGGCTAATGCAAAGGGGTGAGGAACGGGGGGAGGGGGGTCGAGCTCTCGTGCCTGTTCCAGGATTTATTAAGAAACGATGCATTCAATTTCTGCATGTAAGTAATTATCTTTTATTTCATTTCACGGCCAGCAGAAACCTGCAGCGGCGAGAAAAGCCCTCCAGGCTCCTCGGCCTCCAAGAGAGCCCGCACAGCTTACACCAGTGCTCAGCTGGTGGAGCTGGAGAAGGAATTCCATTTCAATCGCTACCTTTGCCGGCCCCGACGCGTGGAGATGGCCAACCTGCTGAACCTCAGTGAGAGGCAGATCAAAATCTGGTTCCAAAACAGGAGGATGAAGTATAAGAAAGATCAGAAGTCAAAAGGGATGGGATCTTCCTCCGGAGGGCCTTCTCCTACCGGCAGCCCCCCCCAACCCATGCAATCCTCCGCCGGGTTTATGAACGCCTTGCACACCATGAGCAGTAACTATGATGCCCCTTCCCCACCTTCCTTCAATAAGCCCCACCAAAATGCCTACGCCATGTCAACTAACTACCAAAACCCCATCAAAGGCTGCCCCTCCCAACAGAAGTACACCAACACGGCCCCCGAGTACGACCCCCATGTGTTACAAGGGAATGGGGTGACCTACGGGACTCCAAGCATGCAGGGAAGTCCCGTCTACGTTGGAGGTAACTACGTGGACTCTCTGCCCACCTCTGGCCCATCCCTTTATGGCCTCAATCACCTCCCACATCACCAGGCGGCCAACATGGACTACAACGGGCCCCAGCAGATGCCTCCAAGCCAACACCACGGACCATGCGAGCCCCATCCCACCTACACAGACCTTTCCTCGCACCACGCATCTTCTCAGGGCAGAATCCAGGAGGCCCCCAAGCTGACCCACCTGTGATCGGGAGCAGGGATGGGTTGGAGTGAACTGGATGGCAACCAACGCATGAGTTGGAGGGGGCACGGGGCAGGACGACCTTCAGAAACATTTGTGTTGAGGTGTTTTCTTCCTTTCTTCACTTAGGCAAGTTCTACCAAGATGTTGAGTTTGCCACTGTTATTTCCGGGTTCTGTTTGGCACAGTTTCCAAGGGTTTTGGTATTTAATGTCTAAAGCATTTCTCTCTCTGAAAAGATTTACCTCCTGTGTGTCAACACAAATGTTTCTGAAGTGGCTTTGGGGAAGTTTTATGGGAACCTAACAGGTTTTTAGCAGCAACACCCTTAATTTCCAAACCCGGGGCAGATTATCACTGATAATTCTTGGTCAATGGAAAGCAGATGGCCAACCAAACCTTTACAGTTGGTGCCTCTGCATCTACACCTGGCTACACAGGTTAGCCCAAGGGATGCACGAGAAATCTGCCCTCCACTTCAATCCTCAAGAGCTTTGTGCTTTCCTCCCCAACCTCCAGAGGCAGGGCATCCTTCTTCTCTGAGTTAATTCCCACCAATCCCCACACAAAAGGCAAATATACACACCTGCCAACGCGTGGGATCCACGCTCTTCCCCTCCCTTCCACGCCTCCCTTCTCAAAAATAATAATTAAAAATAGAAAAGAAAATGAGAGAGGCGTAAGAATTGCAAAAAGATTTAGGAAAAGTGTTTCTCAATTGCTTAAAACCCCACCAACAGGAACGGCAGCCCAAAGAGAGGAAGAAAATGTTGACAGGTCTGAATATTTTTCCACCTTTGCCACAGATGATGTGAAGTTTGCATTTGATGATACCAGGGTTTTTGTTTTTTGGGTGGTTTTTTTTTTTTTTTTTCTTCTTCCTTAGGGTTCATTAATAGAAAAGCAATCTTAAGACTTAGAAGTCCTATGCTTCTTTCCTCCTCTTCTCTTGACCTTACGTGAAAACAGGGTATATTTGAACAAATGGAATGTCCTCCAATGGAAGCAGAAGTGAATGGATCTCTAGGATTTGCTAATGCTTTATTGTCTGGACATCTTTGTTGCACTTAGAGTTTACATATAATGGGTATAAAAACAACTTTGAAGGGCGTTCATTGAACTCAGTCGAGACGTCCTTCAATAGGTGTGTGTTCTGGTGAACATTCATATATATTTATTGGTTATAGCCAGTTTAAAATATTTTCCTTTTTGTATTATTTATCCCCGATATTATGTATTTATATGAGGAACAACAACAGCAGCAACAACAAAAAAAAAGAATCAAATTGTACTTTTTTAGTATTTACTTGTTATAAAGGACGTTGTGTTTCCTTGTCATTGTACAACAAGCTTATTTTAGTTACTGTAATTTAGAAAGACGAGTAGTTTTATGTTACCTTCGTACTTATGAATAATGTAATTAGTTCTACTGGAGGCATGAGAGCAGAACCAGACTGTAATTGTATAGTCCTGAATTAGAAGAACTATAGCTAATCCCTCCCTCCCATCTTGCCCCTCCTCTTTGGAGATCTTTCTTTGTTCTTATAGTAGTTATTTTATTTCCTTGCTTAAGGGTTGTCTGTTGAACAATTCTTGAATAAACTTTCTGTTATCAATTTCATCTCGTCCTAGCGGTTGGATTTAAAAGCAGGAAGAGGAAAGGGATAAAGGATAAAGGAGAAGGAAAAGGAAAAAGGAAAAGGAAAAAGGAAACAGGGAAAAGGAAAAAAAAAAAAAGGAAACAGGGAGAAAGGGAAAAGAGGGAAGAAAAGATATAAGGAAAAAGGGAAAAGGGGAAAAAAAGGAAAAAGGTAAAAAAGAAGAAAAAGGGGAGCAGAAAAAAGGGAAAAGGAAGAAGAAGATGAAGAAGAAAAAGAGAAAGAGAAAACAGAAAGAGAAAGAGAAAACAGAAACAGAAAAAAGAAAAAGAAAAAGAAAAAGAAAAAGAAAAAGAAAAAGAAAAAGAAAAAGAAAAAGAAAAAGAAAAAGAAGAAAAAGGAAAAGAAAAAAAGAAAAAGAAAAAGAAAAAGAAAAAGAAAAAGAAAAAGAAAAAGAAAAAAAAGAAAAAGAAAAAAGGAAAAGAAAAAGAAGGAAAATAAGAAAAAGGAAAAAAGAGAAAAAAAAAGAAAAAAGAAAAAAAGAAAGGGAAAAAGGAAAGGAAAAGAAAAAGGAAAAGGAAGAGAAAAAAGAAAAAGAAAAAAAGAAAAAGAAAAAGGAAAAAAGAAAAGGAAAAAAGAAAAAGAAAAAGAAAAAGAAAAAGAAAAAGAAAAAGAAAAAGAAAAAGAAAAAAAAAGAAGGAAAATAAGAAAAAGGAAAAAAGAGAAAAAAGGAAAAAAAGAAAAAAAAAAGAAATGGAAAAAAGGAAAGGAAAAGAAAAAGGAGAAGGAAAAGGAAAAAGAAAAAAAAGGAAAGGAAAAAGAAAAAAAAAAGGAAAGGAAAAAGAAAAAAATTAAAAGGGAAGGAAAAAGAAAAAAAGGGAAAGGAAAAGAAAAGGAAAAAGAAACAAAAAGAAAGAAAGAAAGGAAGGAAGGAGAGAAACGAAAGCGCTGCAGTCCAGGCCGGGGAGCGGAGCGGCCCACGCCGTTCGCAAAGGCCGAGATTTGGGGCCGCCCCGCTCCGCGCCCCCCCCGCACCCGCGGTCACAAAGCGGGGTCACGTGGCACCGAGGCCGGGCCGCCATTGGGCCGTAAATGAAAACAAAGGAAAATGATTAATCACGCACAAAATATTATTAGTAATAAAAGAAAAGGGCCCGAGTTTCCACGCAGGGATTTTAAACGGGATTTGCGGTGCGTGCACACGCATCCATGCACGCGTATGGGGACGGTCACGCGTGCACAAGCACCAACACGAGTATCTTCATGCAAGCACGCTGGAAATTGTCATTAAGAGAAAGAAAGCTGCTGTGAAGGGCTGCGCTGTAGGAGCCAGCAATGGGGGGAGCAGCCCTTGGCAGCAGCGAGGATCACACAGCTCAAAATTCGGGTTTTTATGCTCCAAAGCCTTAAGAAAAAACTTATATGAAAGCAGCGAGGAGAAATTGTCAACGGTTTACGGGCTGGTTCGGACAGTAATATAAGTTTTATGGCTCTGGAAAGTAGGGTGGGGGGAGCTGATGTCAGACTGGAGATGCTCCGACGTTGGGGGATATGGAGGGAGGGAAAGGCTGGGCAGGACTTAACCGCTGTGAGTGTGTGTAAATGTGAGTGTGTGCCCTGCCCGTGGTTTTGCACACAGGTTTGCACACTCAGGAGCAGCCGTGGGTGTCTGAATAACCCCAACCCCCCTCCCCAAGTGAAATTGTGGAGAGGAGAGAGATTTCCATGAGAAACGATCTCTTGTTTCTTCCTCTCTCTCTCCGATCTCGCTTAATAAATGAAGTTCCAGGTTAATAATTATAACCTTCGCGCAATAATAAATAGCGGTATAAAAGAAAGACAGGGCTTGTTTTTCTCCCAAGACCTGTTCTCGGTTCTGCCCATCCATGCAGAGAGCAATTTACCATTCGAGGATACTATAATTTAGAAGCATAAAAGCGTGCAAGCGCTGATCGGGATCGGGGTAAATAAAAGGCTCAGGCAGTGGCTTCTCCCCCCCCCACCCCCCTCGTTTGCTGAATACCATTTTCTCGATCCCACAACCCAATAGGGTTTTGTATCAGGGTTCCCCAGCATCGAGTTAAGGATCCTTAAGGAGAACTCAAGGCGATGCTCGGGGCAAAGAAGCGCTTTTGCTTTTTCCTGTCGCTTCTTCACGGACTCCTGCAAATCTCCGCATCTTCACGTTCCGTTTGGGCCGTTCTAAGAGGGGAGCAGTGATCGCATCTCCCAACCGCCCCCGAGCCGTGGGAATCCCTTCCCATCAGGTTATGTATGCCCTCCCCCCCGAGAGCTCACATTATTTTCTTCGGGGCTCGTGGGAAAAGAGACGGCTCTTTCCTCAAGAGATGCCGTTCTCTTGTTTTGTTTTGTTTTATTTTGCAGCTTTGGTGTCAGCAAAAGCAGCGGAATCAGCTGAGGACGGCTGGGAAAGAGTTTCCTTTTGCATCCCCAACTCTTTGGCTGCACCGCAGAGAACCGCTCTCAATGACAAAACCCAATTCCTCCACATGCATTTCCATCCAAATCAATAAGAAACGATCCCAAATCAAACTCTGAATTCGTACTTCTGCCCCGATCTGATGAGATTTACGTTTGTTTCCATGAGCGCATAGACAAACTTCAAACATTGAAGGAAACCCTCCTAAACCCCCAAAGCCTTCAATCGAACCTCGTTTTGTATTCGTATCATTCTTTAATTTGATTTTACCCCTTTGCCAAACTAAGCTTGGATCGCTTGGTTCAGCTTCATTATTATGTGGTCCTCTGATTCCCTCCCCACCCACACGGATGCTTGAAGTGACAAAAGTTTCTAGGCTTCTCCCCGTGTGAATGCAGCCTGCCAGTCCTCGCCTACTGCAAAAAATGGGAGAAGTGGAGCTTGAACAAACACATACGAACCATCCCAGCTTCCATTTTGCAGCAGATAACTTATTTTTTTTACTACCCATCCTTCCACCCCAAGAAATGGTTACATTCTACACTTCCCGAATTCAGACACCTGGGTTAAACTTTTTTTCTTTTTTTTGGTTCTTTATTTTGCATTGAGTGACTCCTTTGCCAAAGCCAAAATTCTTTGCTGAGTGCGCCGGGCTGAGCTGTCAAATTCATTCGAGAAAAAAAAAGAAAAAAGAAAAAGAAGAAGAAAGAAAAAGAAAGAAAAAGATTGATTGTTTCTTCTTAACTGGTTGTGTGGATTTCGGCCACTTTAAAAGAAAGAATCTTCCTGGGAAGTGACTTTTCGCTTTATTTATTTGGTAAACTCTGGAAGTGGAGCCGTTTATTGGCAAGGGGAAACGGGGAGGGAGGAGAGAAATCTAAGATGGGAAGGAAAGAAATGCGATTTCAGAGATATCCATGACCTTAAAAACACTTTTGGCCTTTAAGGAAAGTGCCAAGGGTCCATTAAGTGTCGCTTTAGAAGCAGAAGGATTACGCTGCTTCTTTACAAGTCGTTTAAGGAGCTAAATCGGGCCGACCTGACTCTACTTGACTTGAAAGCTCACTTGATTTCCTAAGTGCCTCATAGCCGGGTTCAGACAGACCTTCCTGCTGATCAGAACTTCTCAAGCTCGGCGATGTATTTATGGCATTCAAATACCCCCAGGCAGCTCGCCTGCGGTTCGGGCCGCTTTCTTCCCGTCTGCATGCGGGCAATTCGGGCTGGCGGAGCCGCTTTTCCCACGCCTGCATCCCCCTGGGGGGTGCGAACTTTGTGGAGATGAGCAAACGGCAAAGGCAGAGCTGGGCAGAGCTGGCAGGGCCAGAAAGCACCACGCAGCACCAGGCAGTGCTGCCAAGTACCGAGCAGCACCCAGCAATGCAGGTAGAAATGAGCAGCACCCAGCAGTGCAAACAGAACAGAGCAGCATCCAGCAGTGCAGGTAGAAATGAGAAGCATCCAGCAATGCAGGTAGAAATGAGCAGCACCCAGAAATGCATGCAGCACCATGGAGCACCTAGCAAGGAATGCAGCACCCAGGAGCACCCAGCAGTGCATGTAGCACCCAGGAGCACCCAGCAGTGCAAACAGAACAGAGCAGCATCCAGCAGTGCATGCAGCACCCTGCAGTGCATGCAACACCCAGCAGCACCCAGCAGTGCATGCAGCACCCAGCAGCACCCAGCAGTGCAAACAGAACAGAGCAGCATCCAGCAGTGCAGGTAGAAATGAGCAGCACCCAGAAATGCATGCAGCACCACGCAGCACCAAGAAGTGCATGCAGCACCCAGCAGTGCAAACAGAACAGAGCAGCATCCAGCAGTGCAAGTAGAAATGAGCAGCACCCAGAAATGCATGCAGCACCACGCAGCACCAAGCAAGGCATGCAGCACCCAGCAGCACCCAGCAATGCATGCAGCACCCAGGAGCATCCAGCAGTGCATGCAGCACCCAGCAGCACCCAGCAATGCATGCAGCACCTTGGAGCACCCAGCAGTGCAGGCAGCACCGAGCAGCACCAAGAAGTGCAAGAAATACTAAACAGAACCACACAGCACCCAGAAGTGCGTGCAGAACTGAGCAGCACCCAGCAGCTCAGGCAGCATCAAGCAGCACCATGCAGCACCAAACAGCACCCAGCAGTGCAGGCAGAACTGAGCAGCATCAAACAGCACCAAACAGCACCCAGCAGCCCCAGGCAGTGCTAGGAAGCACCCAGCAGCTCCAGCCAGCATTTCCCTGCCTGCTGGCCCCACCGAACCGCCCTGCAGTTTTCTGCTTGCTGAGGAGCGATGGCAAGGATCCTTTCCTGAGGATTTTCTCTCTCGCCTTTTTTTTTTTTTTTTTAATCAATTAAAGAAAATAATGCTTTCTGTTTGCCACCAGGCCCCGCCTGCCATTGGCCAGGGGTGGCCACGTGACCAGGAATTGGCTGCAATTTCGCCCCAGTCTCGAGTTTAATAGAGCAAGGTCCCCATACGCCTGTATTATCAGCAATATAACAATTATAAAAAGCCCGAGAACCATCATCATCACTGCCATAAAGACTGAGGCCCTTAGATTTCTTCCTCTCTTCCCCTCCTCCTTCCTCCCCCCCTCC